AAAAATGCTTTTATAGAAACAAGCGAGAACAACTTGGGTGAGCTGCGCACCCAGAGGAAAGAGTGGATCACAGATGAAACCTGGCGGAAGATTGAGGAGCGTAGAGAAGCAAAAGCCGCGATAGAGCGGGCGAGAACCAGAGGAGCCAAGAACGAAGCCCGTCAACGGTACTCGGCTCTAGAGAAGGAAGTCAATCGCTCTTGCAGACGGGACAAGCGAGCGTGGGTGAACTCCCTGGCCGACGAAGGGGAGAAAGCCGCAAACACTGGCGATATACGCCTCCTCTACGATATCTCACGACGCCTGAGTGGAGCAAGGATGAACCCGAGGATGCCAGTGAAGGACACGACAGGACAATTGCTTACCGACCCCACTGACCAGCTGAGCACTTCGAACAACTTCTTCAAGTTTCGACAGCCAACCAGCCATCAACATCTCGGCATGATTCGCCTAGGGTGCGGCGCATCACTCGCGTCAATTCCGAGATTCCATCACTGCAGGAGATTGAAGCAGCTATCCGAAGCATGAAATCCAACAAGGCTCCAGGGGTCGATCGCATATCAGCAGAGATGCTCAAAGCTGACCCCATGCTATCCGCACAAATGTTGCATCAACTATTCTGTAATATCTGGGACACCGCGACTTTTCCGGCCGACTGGATGCAGGGCATCTTAGTGAAGGTCCCAAAGAAGGGTGATCTGACTGTGTGCGACAATTGGCGAGGCATCATGTTACTGTGTATTGTTCTCAAAGTTCTGTGCAAAGTTATTCTGAATCGGATACAGGAGAAGATCGACGCGACTCTCCGACGGCAGCAGGCAGGATTCCGTGCCGGAAGATCTTGTGTGGACCATATTGCCACGCTCCGCATCATCCTGGAGCAGGTCAATGAATTCCAAGAGTCCCTTTATTTGGTATTCATTGACTACGAAAAAGCTTTCGACCGTCTCAATCACGAGAATCTGTGGGGCGCCCTGAGACGCAAGGGAGTCCCGGATAAAATCGTCAACCTCATCGAAGAGCAGTATGAGGCTTTCACGTGCAGAGTTCTGCATAACGGAGCCTTGTCCGACCCTATCCGGGTAGTCGCTGGTGTGAGACAAGGATGTATACTATCACCGCTACTGTTTCTCATCGTAATCGACGAGATCATGGTAGGTGCAATTGACCGTGTACCGAACCGTGGGCTGCTTTGGCAGCCTATCACCATGGAGCATCTCAACGACTTCGATTTGGCTGATGATGTTGTTCTACTAGCACAACGGCGCTCTGATTTGCAGAGTAAGCTCAATGACCTAGCCGAACGCTCCTCTGCGGCGGGTCTCACCATCAACGTCAACAAGACCAAATCGTTGGATATCAACACGGGCAACCCTTCCAACTTTACGGTAGCGGGGCAAGCAGAGGAGAAGGTCGAAAGTTTCCAATATCTTGGCAGCCAAATAGCGTCGGACGGCGGGACCAAGAGCGACATAGGTGCACGAATCAAGAAGGCTAGGGCTGCCTTTGCGAGTTTACGAAACGTATGGAGATCCAACCAGATAAGTCAACGCACCAAAATCCGAATTTTCAACTCGAACGTGAAATCTGTGTTGTTATACGCCAGCGAGACGTGGTGTGTATCAGCGGAGAACACTCAAAAGCTGCAGGTCTTCATCAACCGATGCCTGCGGTATATAATTCGTGCCTGGTGGCCTCACAACTGGATCTCGAATGCCGAGCTCCATCGTCGATGTCATCAGAAGCCGATAGCAATAGAAATTCGAGAGCGAAAGTGGAGGTGGGTCGGCCACACACTGGGGTGATGGGGTGGAAACGAAATCTGCAAGCAAGCGCTGGATTGGAATCCGGCAGGACATCACAGCAGAGGCAGACCCAGGGGCTCATGGCAGCGGAGCCTCAATAAGGAAATTAAGCAAGTCGATAGAAATCTGACCTGGGCCCAGGTCAAGGCAAAAGCGAGCAGCCGCCCAGGATGGAAGTCTTTCACGTTGGCCCTTTGCACCGCTGGTGGTGCAGAGGACCCTTAAGTAAGTAAGTACACCAAGGTGTACCGAAAGGCTATGACATCATTTGAAAAACACCATTTCGCTCCAAGACCCGGAGAGTCGAACGGCATATACCAATAGACTAATCTCAACGGGAACGGAAATTGTTTATTTATGTGTGTGTATATATGTATGAATGCATGTATGTGTGCAAGTTCGTATGAGTGTAACTCACTCAATTTTCGTAGAGATGGCTGGACCAATTTGAGTGGAACAAGTTCCAGAAGATGTGTTTCGGATCCCCATAGATTGCTATTGATTTTTTTTCCTGATCGGATTGATGGTTCCGAAGATATCAACAAAAAAGTAAATTCCAGATTCCACTGGGGAATACGCAAAAGATTGATATATCAAAAACTCATCATGCGACACCTCAAATCACATTAGAATTTTACTATGATTCGATTGTTTACATTTATTTATTGCACACCGTCTTCGACTACGTCGTACAGACTGACTACTTAAAACGAAAAATTGTTTAATCTAATCCTCTTATTATATTACTGAACACATATTTGGACATAGTAAAACCTAATTCCTTGCAAACATCATTAAAGGAAGGCAAACAGGAATTAAAACAGTTATTGCATCCAAAGTTAGTTCTGTGGAATGGAATCGACAGTAACGGGGAGTTACGAAATCTGCGAAGAGGAATGTTCCATGTTCGGGACAGTCCACATTGCTGGTAATTAGATCGAATATGAACAGTCGTTGCAATTTGACACGCCTTGCTGAGAGAGATTCCAAATCAATCAGCATGCATCGGTCTGGATAGGCAGAAAGAATTATTGGAAGCTGATGTAAAGCAAACCTCAGAAACTTTTCTGAATCCCTTTAATCGTAAGAGTATGCGTGGTGTAAAATGGAGACCACACTGGGGGAGCATATTCTAAGATACTGCCAACCAGCAAGCAGAATAGTGTCTTGAGGCAATACACATCGGTGAAACCAGAAGCATGACGATTAATGAAACCAAGAACAGTGTATTCTTTGGCAGTTATTATGCTTATGTGTTCACAAAACGTTAACCGGGAATCGATCGTATCGCCTAGATAGCATAAGATCAATGGTGGATATATTCAGACCCAATGATCACAATGGCCTCTTTCAGAGTGGACAGATTCTGACCTGAGTGGTGCGAAGTGAAATTTTCTTCATGTTGGTAGTGTTGAAATAAACGTTTCATCACCGTCGGTTGGTAGAGAGAAGTGTCAAACGGCTTTTTGTGCAGAGCCGATTCGTGACTTTGTGATTGTTTGTTGACATTGTTCATAGCTGGAGTTTTTACGGAGTAGAATAAAATTCAGAATGAAGTGTTTTGCTTACTTTTGCAATTATAAAGATGGACACGACGAAAAGCGAAGCCTATTCAGGTTTCCCAAGGATTCATCAGTACGAAATGAGTGGCTCAGTTAATAAAATAATAACAGAATAATAACAGAATAAAACCCTGACACATCCTCTACCTTACTTGCAATCAAACACAGTAATTTTTATTTGTATAAATTGTTGCAAATCAGATGCAAATTTAATGTGGCCGACGATATCTATGGAAGTGCTGTCGAAATTCCCTGGGACCTCCAATGGCAACGATTTGACTTCCCTCCAAATCGTGTGAAACTCGAACATGAAAACTCTGTAGAACCCCCGTAGAACCTCGCTGGCAGCAACTAAAATATCCACTGAAACCTCTTCTGTCGCGGGAAAAATCTGTTGAAATTTCCTGGAACTTTTGTACTATCATCACAAATCTCCTTAGAACGTTCTCCGAAGTCACAGTCGTTCCTGAGCGAAAAAAATCGGAGGGGTTTTTTTCAGCGCAGGAGTCTACTTTGGTCCAAAATACGCAATAATACTGTTATTTTTAATTGTTTGAGTCGTTTCGAATCACGTTTTTAAAAAGATCAAAAACATTACTGAAAAATATTTATTTTTTATTTTGGACGATAACAATACTTCTATCTATTTCAACGAACCACAATGATAAAAAAGTGGTTCGATTTGACAGCTCGAAAGTGGCTCGATTTTGAGGTCCGTCTTCGCACCACTCAGATTCTGACATGCGCCAAAATGCATCGTCCGATACCTCAAATCACATCGAATTCAACATAATAATCGTACACATAATTTTTATTGTCCGTTTAATAACTTGAACAGTCCTTTAACAATAAGGAGAAGATAGGGGAATTTACGTATTCTCGTCAATCTAATAGCGAATTCGTTTATTATTCAGTTCCAACCTGGATCGGGTATCAAGATTGGGTCTGCTTGTTTTCTGACAAACGTCAGTTTGATCGTTTGTTTTTAAAACCTAGCTCAGGTTGAGGTTCGCACTGACAAAAAGTTCGGTTTCGCACTGGGTTGGAACTGGTTCCAACCCCGATAATAAACGAATTTGCTATAAGCAGCGTCCGAACTTCTATTAGCGATTTCTCAGCGTCACACACATACATGACAGGTTTGTTTGTTGACATTTATCTGCTGCTTGCTGTTCTACCAATTCCAATCGACAGAATTGATCAAAACGGGTTGAACATGTTTTTACAACGCTCCAAACTTCTCAAGTGAGAGTGACTATTGTCGGCAGTCTCTTTTTCTTCGGCACCCTTTCCATTTGAAATGCGTGTTAACCAGCTGTTCTATTATCGGCAACTCGAAATCAGCCGTGTTTTGTAGTATGTATATTTCATTTAAAGAAAAATATGGTATAACAGGAATTCACAGTCGTAAAAATGTAATCAGATTGAAGCTGAAAAGGTAAGGAATCGGCTTAATACATTCAGCGAAGAGTTTTGATGGGAAAATACAGTGAAATAAACATTTCAATTTTGGTTGCCGAAAACAGTCAATGGGTGCCGAAGCCATAATTTACCCTATATGTGATTTAAATTTTCATTAAAATACATTTTTTCCTTTGCTTTCAGCACTACTTCCTAGAAAACATCGTCATCACAAAGTCCAGCTATCTGGAAAGATCCAAACCAACCCTAAATTTGTGATACACGTATCGCACAAGGTGCCCGATGACTCCGAAAATGATAAAACAACAACTGTGTTACGTATTTCTCCTACTTATCACTGCGCACCTGATAGACGCCACCATACCAACGATTGATAATATCGGTACGTAAGCTCCTACAAGTAATCCATTGGCACCATTGATCCAGAGACAACCAACTGCACTGCAACGAACCTACGTAATTTAAAAGCGGTCACATGTTCAAATGTTCTTTCGCGCAATCAGGCCATCGAATGCTCAAGATTAGTCAGCCCAGTGGCAGGCGCGTAGGCAACATGTTATACCGTGACAGCGGGCCCAAATAAAAAACGATAAACGATTTAAGCCCGGGACATGCTGCCTACTGTCAAACGCTGCTGTTGGTATAGGCCTTATCACTGGTCTGAGATTAGCCAAGGAATAGTGACCTCAATGTGACGTACGTTTATGTATGTTATTCGACTGCAGACGTCATTCGGATTGAGCCCATATAGTTTCTGCCTTTCTCCATATTTTGGTGGTCACTGAACTAAACGATCCAAACGAATCGGAAAACTATCAAACATTATAACTGACACCCACATGCGACCGCTAACGAACTGCCCAGGCTGCATTTTGACCATGGAGGTGATCAAATTTGGTTATCGCGGCTATGTTAATGCCTTTCTGTGCTATATATGGCTGATGAAGTTTGACGCTACAGTTCACTGAACTGAACTGTATTGTAATCAATCAAAAGAAATGTGATGTCATTAAAATAGGGGCGTTACTATCGAACAAAATGGGCCAAAAGGTCTCAGAATTTTATGAAATGTTTCCCACAAGTAGAGTTTATGATTGTATGAACGAAAATAAAAATCAAAAAATTCGCGTTGATATTTTTTCGGGCAAAGTTTTCGGATTTTCCCGAACATCACGTACTTTGAATATTCGTAACTCATGAACCAAGTATTGTAGAAAGAACGTTGTATAGTGAAATTATCTCAACAATCCATACAATATATAATCTGACTAATGTTTTCGACGAAAATTTTCACGGTGGAGGAAAATCGCAAAATAAATCAGGAAAACCCATTCTCAGTATAATCATAGAGGTAACTCTACGACCAGATAGTTCCGAAGAAATGTGGTCAATTTTTTGGCTCAACTCTGGTACTATCTTCGATCCCAAGCTAATCGATGCACCCCTCGAAAAATCCACGAACTCGTCATTTTATCTGTCAAACTTTCATAGCGAATCAAAACAAACATTGTGTAGTACTAACATTTCGACTAGAATGGGGCACGCTTATAGATGTATTTGGGACCAATAGGCTAGTCAAGTAGGGAGTCAATTTAGAATCGTTAGTTTCCACCGGTTGGTATAATGGTTGCATTTTTTATCTAAATATGTTTTTTTCTTAAGCAACTTTTGAAAAACGCGTATTCAAACAATTGATTATATTTTTTTCAAAATAATATAAAATAGAATTTTTTTCTAAGGGAGTTTAACTGCTTGTGCAGTCATTCATCCCTGACACCTGACACATGCAAATGACTGATCTGAACAAAATGACATCTGAGAAAAAAATGTAGGTAATTAAATGTTCTTTGAGAAAAAACACTGACAGAAAAACCTCATAGTACAAAACATAAAACGTCGATTTTCTCAAAACACCCTAAAAGCTTAAGTAATGCCCTCAGATTTGAAGAAGAGTGTAAGCCGGTAACTTGCTTCAAAAAAAAATCTATACATTATTTTAGTTTTTAGGGTTTTTGATCTAATTTCCGTCCTACTAAGCACAACCCGCGCTTTACCTCTCTTTTTTGAACGGGTTTGATAAAAAAATTGAATATTTCTGTTCAAGATGACTTTTAAATGTATTCACCTTTCAATACGTACTGTTGGATTTGATAAAGAGTTACACATTGTTGAGATATTGTTTAAAATCTAATACTGCTTCTTGATTCTAAATTCGTCCTACGCCATTAGATTTTTTTCGTCCTACGGATAAACGTAGAAAAAGGGGATTCGCTAGGAGCGCTTCTTTTGGTTTGAGAAAAATGAGCGTAAATATTCATACAATGCACTCAAATAGGATTTATGTTGTAGTGAATTCATCAAATCAAGAAGACTGGCAACTTTGCCAGAATCCAAGCGACAGATACAATTGATGAATTTACGTTACGGTCGACCAGCAGATAGAAATGATGTGAAAATGATAATGACGTTTTGCTTCCTGTCAAATCGTATGGGCTATTTTTTAGTACATCATCACTTTTGTGGTTTTGAATTTCAAACCTAGGCGTCGCATGCACTGGTGTAGTTTCGCGTAAATTCATCAATAGCGCTGCGGTTGAGCGAAGGTGGAAGCAACGCATAGAAAAATTAGCAAATACACAAACGTTTCTTCTGAGGATGTAATCTTTGCTATCAAATTCCTTCGAAGCATTTATCTTTGATCGGCAGCTGACGCGATTGTACCTATCTCATAGCGTTCGTATGAGAAAATGCAAGAGTTGCCAGTCTTCTTGATTTGGTGTCTTCGGTTGTAGCCGAGGGGTGCAACACATCTAAATCTCGATTTTAAATGATCGAAAAATCTCACACTAGCGAATCAATCTACGAAAAAAAAAAAATTCATCTCTTGCATCTAAACCCATCTACTCGCATCGCTCTCCACCTTTTTGCAGGAAATCTTCAATATCATAATCAATCGTGTTTCTATCTATTAAGCGCGAGTGCATCTCACAACAGCAAAGCAAAAAAAATCCTGCATCTTAGATAGAGTCGTCCCTCTCGGTTGTAGCTAATGAACTAACGCATCGGAACAATCGTATTATAGATTTGTGCACGATGAAATCGTTGATATTATTGATCTTTGCTGATCGATAGAACGGAAATGGGCGATTACGAAGAAGTAGCGCTATACCCTATTGATTTTTAAAATACAACGAAATTGCATATTTCTTAGTAAAATATTAATTTATGTATTTGGACAGATAACTTTTTTCCCAAGTCCAGCCGTTCTCAAGTTAATACAAATTAAAAATATAAAAATTATGAATTTTCCGAGGGGGACGACTCTACCTACGATGCAGGAAATATTGTGTTTTGCTGTGGCTAGTTGCGCGTACGCTGAGTAGATAGAAAGAAGATTTATCATGATTTTGAAGATTTCCTGCAAAAAGATGATGCGCGATGCAAGTAGCTGCGAGAAATGAAAGAAGATTTTTCAAAGATTTATTCGCTAGTGTGAGATTTTTTGAGCATCTAGAATTAAGATTTAGATGTGTCGCCCCCCTCGGAATTTTCTACATTTTGGACCATTTTTAAATATTAAAGGGTGTTACGATCAAAATTTGGTTAAACAAGAATGCGTGTGAATTGATTAATTTTTTTTATTAAAATCAGGAAATAAGGTAAATGTACATGTCCCTAATTTGGGCCCATCGCTATTTATCAATTTTTCTAGATGAACGCGTTATTGGGACGTTACTAATGGATATTTTGGTTGCTTTTGAAAATTTAGTTGATTGCTGAATTTATGTATAGGCCCAAATTAGGGACACTTAGGCCGACATTACCTGCATTTCCCCTACTTCCTTTAAATTTTCGGAAGATTAGTATGTGAATGTATGTGTATAGTAATGATGATGATTGAAAAATATTTCAAAAGGAAAGCCCTTATTACCGATGTCACTTCACGGTGAAGTGACATCTTATCACTCACGGTGAAGTGATTCCCATTTGATTTACACGGCAAACACTTCACCGTCAGTGACAAGTGGTCTTTTCACTTCGTTTTCACCGTAAAGTGACACTCGTAATAAGGGCCGCAAAATAATACAAACTGACTGACGGTGTCTTGAGCCTTAAAGTTCCACAAAGGGTAAACAATTTATTTACTTTCACATTGTTTTTATGTTACTTCATACGCGAAGTTAGCAATTTTCAGAGTTGGTTGGAAATGCTAACATGAAGCTTTAGTGTGATAATTTATTAGCTAGAGAATGATCTTTAGAAGAGGGTAGGTGGATAGTTCCGTTAGAGTACGGCAGTATGAAAATTGAATAGAAGTTGAAAGGCCCTTCGCTGTTTTGATTTGCTGTGAGATTGCTCATACACAGTGACTGTGTGTGTGACCTAATGTCACAGAAACGAATAATCATAACAAGGCTTCGTTGTTGTTTTTGTTTTGCTCTACAAAATTTCACGGCAATTTATATCCTAATCCCAGCAAGTCAGTGGTTTTCCAACTCCAAACCGAAAAACTTGTCATGGTGGATCAAGTAGAGGATTGAAACTCGGATCGATACCTAGTGAAAGTAACTTTTGCTTGTGAACGAGGAATCGAAATTTTGTTTGTTTTGCCTGTTGTAAGCAATCAATTATAAGGAATTGGAAGCTGACTCAAAAAGAAGAAAGATCCGGTACCTACATCACGATCCAGCGGAAGGCGTAGTAGGATCTAATGTTGGAGAAAATGAAAATGAAAGGTTGAAGGGCTACAATCCCAAACGGTACGTATTGATAAAGAATATATCGACAGTGAGCATTCATAAGGGCGAATACGCGATGATCGATTCTCTTCATCGATTTTCTCTTTGCATTGCTACAGCTAGGCGAAACAATTTTCTAGAATTTGTTCAATGCAGAGTATTAACAGGTTGTATTGGCTATCAAAAGCAACAGCAAACGCACCGAGAAACGTTAAATCTAGCGAGTTATTAACAAAAGAGAAAATCGACGAAGAGAATCGATCATCGCGTATAGGCCCTTATGCATGCTCACTGTCGATATTTCTATTTTAGATGTTGTCAAATGGTCAGCGAGTACTGTGTCAAGTTGCCGAGCGTCACAACTCGTGCACTAACACATACCATCATACACGGGTTCCACTTTTGCTCAGAAGAGGCGTTGCCGTTACTGTCTTCTGATTTTTGGCAGGGTTGCCAGTCTTCTTGATTTGTAATCTTCGTTGGGACCGAAGATAGTTGACGAAAGTAGAAGAAAGTTGAGCACGTTTCTTCGGTACCTTCTGGTCTTAGAGTTACCTCTTTGGTTAAAAAATCTCTTTTCTTCCTTTATTTCACTACAACAGCAAATGTGACGTCACTCTACCTAGTGCATAAGGATGTTGTA